ATTAATTATTTTTCAAAATGTAAGACTTCAGAACAACATTATACGACTATTATATCAACATCGTACCACTATGATATCATATCACTGTCAACGGTAATATCGTTATATTACAGTGGTACGATGACTTGAATTTTTTTTGTTCCAAAAATATCAAAATGAGTATCATCATGTAGAACACAAAGAAACAGAATTTTTATGCAAAATTTTCTGAAATGCGAGGTAAAACGAATGAGCTAAGATCCGTTGAGTTATTGTGAGAGATTTGGAAAATTCTTTGACAGCAGTCTTAGAATCCGCGCCCCTCCCAAATCCGATCAACCCTCTCTTCTACTTTTCCTTCTTACCCTTCTACAAGGATGGACAATGGAGGCGACATTGAGACTGAGATAGGGATGTTGCGACTCACGATTGGAGAGGGAGGAGGACGATGTTGAATTGGGATGTGACAGACTCACTAGTAGATCGAGCAGGTAGCTACGGAGCGGTTAACCTGATATCATCGACTACATCTATTTTATGGCTATTGGTTATCTAATTGACCGATTTTATCGGTTCGTTTTTGCCGTTTACCCGATAACCGTTTATGAGCCCTAATTTTGTTATCAACTGGGGTCTAGTTAATTTTGTTTTTTTATGGACCATATTTTTTCAAGTAGCCGTCCGATAAAAAATAACACCAAATCTCATGGCTCTCATAGCTAGCCATCAACATGTTCGTCACCCCTTCTCGTGAGAGAATGTGGAACCTTTTTCTTATACAACCAACAACAAAAACTCACTTTTATTCGATTCAAGCTTTGAGTCACAAAGGGATAAGCATGCAAAGAAGGAGTTGCTTTGCCTTTCGTTTTAATTCGGATTTTAATTTTTTTTCACAGGTGGAACGAGTTCATCGTGCTCTAAAAAATGAGATCAATTTTCAATATTTTTTTAGAAAAAAAATTATGGCCTCTCGGTACCAACTGCATACCATATGGTATTTTCTTCATTTTTAATTTGTTTTTGAAAACGTTTGCATAAAAGAGACGAGTTTATCATGATCTATTGGATCTACAAATTTCTGGGTGAACAAATTATAGCACAAAAAAAAAAGATCACACAATACCATACAATACTACCCTGGTACGGGGTGGTATCTTATGGTACACAATGTTAAAAGTCGTAAATGACAGTTAATATATTTCTACTATCATGTATTCAACCATCCTACAGTCTTGGTTTGTTCATACCACCATGATACGCTTTTCAAACCATATGTATGCTCTTATTTCAATACCAGTCAATACCATATGGTATAGACTGGTAAAAAATGACTCATTTTTTTGTTCGAAAAATCAAAAATATATCAAAGTGGATATCATTTTGAAGAGCACAATTAATCTGATCTAATTGTGTAAACAAAAATTTTATTTCAACTTAAAACGAGTGATAAATCGTCCGTCAAAGATTAAGGAGGGAAAAATTAAAGGATTTCTAGGAGAGAGAAGGATGCTGATGTCATGCTAATGTGGACGGGTTACTCATTACTCACCATGAGGTTACTGACCTGATCCGATCCCGGGAGGTTGTACCAAAAAAATAAAAAATAAAAAAGTTTATTTTGAATTCATAATTTAATTGTAATTAAACCGTTTGATACCATTAAATACCGCCTATCAATTTTACTTTCGGTAAAAAAAAAATCTGGGCTGTTACAATTTTTCAATTCTTAGTTTGTTGGAAAGGCAGCCCGGATGACCATGGACAATGGATCGATGATGAGCAAATCCTACAATCTATGGCCAGGGAGTATTTTCTCAATCTCTTCACTAAGGACCCTTTGAGCAATAGATGTAGTGTGCCTGCTGAATTTCCTGCTTTGAATGATGAGGTGCTAAGGAGAATGAATGATCTTCCTAGTCTTGATATCATTAAATCTGTTGTGATGGAAATGAATGGTCTCAAGGCCCCTGGGAAAGATGGATTTCAAGCCATCTTCTATCAGAAATGTTGGGAGTCGATTGGTTGTGATTTCTCTACTTTCATCCTCTCCTGTTTTAGATTTCCTGATAGAATACAGACCATCAATGAAACCTTGTTGACTTTGATTCCTAAAGTGGATAACCCTGCCTCGATGAATCACTTTAGGCCTATTAGTCTTTGCAATGTAGGATATAAAGTGGTTGCTAAGATAATTGCAAATAAGCTTAAACCCTTGATGCCTCACCTTGTTAAGAAAAATCAGTCCAGTTTCATTTCAGAGAGACATATTACTGATAATATAATTATTGTACAGGAAGCTGTCCACACCATGGCAAGGAGGACCGGTAAAAAGGGGCATATGATCCTCAAAATCGACTTGGCCAAAGCCTACAATAGGTTGGATTGGGGTTTCCTTGAAGACACCCTTAGGGCTGCAGGGATCTCAAGCTTTCTAATCCAACTCATCATGAAGTGTGTCACCACCACCAGCTTTCAAGTCTTGTGGAATGGGGGGAAACCGAGAGCTTCAAACCATCGCAAGGCCTTCGTCAGGGATGTCCCCTTTCTCCCTACCTCTTTACTCTTTGTATGGAAAGACTTAGTCACTGTATCTTAGCTGATGTGGATAATGGTCATTGGAACCCTTTGAAATTGTCTCCGGGAGGGCCTGCCCTTTCCCACCTTCTCTTTGCAGACGATTTAGTGTTGTTTGCTGAGGCCACTTCTAAGAATGCCGATTCTGTTCTTGACTGCCTCAATAGATTTTGTAGTGCTTCTGGTGAGGTTGTTAGCAATGATAAGTCTAGGATCTTTTTTGCTAGGAATGTCAAGATTCAGACCAGGAAAGATATCTGCTGCAGACTTGACATACAAGCTACAAATGATTTGGGTAGATATCTTGGGGTGCCTGTCTTGCATGGTAGAATCAACAAGAACACCTATAAATACATTATTGATAAATTGATCAGAAGTTGTCTTGCTGGAAGGCCAAGAACTTGTCCCTTGCTGGTAGAGTTACCCTTGCCATGTCGGTTTTGAATGCCCTTCCCTCTTATGCTATGCAAACCACTATCCTTCCCATCTCAGTGTGTGACACCATTGACAAGAAGGTTAGAGGGTTTGTGTGGGGGTCTTCGAATGAAAAGAAAAAACCCCACCTTGTTACTTGGGATAGAATCTGTAAACCTAAAGAACAAGGTGGTCTGGGATTGAAATCTGCTCGTAATATGAATATGGCTTACATGGTTAAATTGGGTTGGAATATGTTGAATAGAGAATCTGATCTTTGGGTACAGGTGCTCCAGGGGAAATATTTCAAACATAAAGGAGGAGCTATTGTTGCAATGAAGAAGAGCAACCATTCAAGCTTATGGAGAGCAATTGTCAAAGGAATGGAGTGGATGAAAGAAGCTACTGTTTGGAGCATTAGAGATGGGAAAACCACAAGCTTCTGGTCCCAACCATGGCTGGAAAATGGGGTTATTTTGGAGGACTATTGCACCAGAAACCTCTCTGAAGAAGAGAAAACCTCTACCGTGGCTGATTGGACCACAGAGGATGGTGAGTGGGATTGGGAGAAACTGAAGCAAGTTTTACCTGATGACGCCCTTGTTTCTATTGCAGGGATGGAGGCGCCTAATCACAACCTGGGGGAGGACAGGACCATCTGGGGGCTCGAAAGAGATGGAAGATTTCGTTTGAAGTCTGCCTATCAACTTGTGGCCAACGAGCTCGATGGAGAATATAACAGCAACTGGAAAAGTCTTTGGAAGTGGAAGGGTCCAAGCAGAATAAAGCATTTCTTGTGGCTTGTTCTTCAAGACCGGCTCTTCACCAACAAAGAGAGAACCAGAAGGAAGATCACAAATGACAGCTCCTGCCCGCACTGCAACCACCATGAAGAATCAATTGAGCACATCCTTCGAAGCTGCACTAAGGCCAGAAGCATCTGGGATAGGATGAACAGCAAGATGGCGGAGAAGAATACAAACCTACCTATGCAAGATTGGATGACCACGAATCTGCGTGATGAGAATACGGGAGTGGAGTTTGGAATTGTTTGTTGGCACCCATGGAAGCAGAGGAACGAGGAGGTGATGGATGGGAAGATTTTCTCAAAAGAGGGACTCATTGCAAGGATTAACGCCTGGTTCAACATTGTTTGGCAAGCCTATCAGAATGTACAGAAAGTGACCAATATGGAGACCAGAGTCAGATCTGTCAAGCAAGTGGGATGGGAACCCCCAAGGGAAGGCTGGATCCAAATCCAATCCGATGGATCTGTGATTCCCCAGACCGGCAGTGCTGCAGCAGGCGGACTCTTGAGAGACCATCTTGGAAACTGCAAAGAGGCATTTGCTTGCAACCTGGGGATTTGCTCTATAACAGCTGCTGAGCTGAAGGGAGCAGCCGAGGGACTGAAGCTTGCTTGGAAGAAGGGATATCGAAAGATTAACCTCAATATGGACTCTACTACTACAATTGATATTATTAAAAAGTGCGAGAATGACGACCATCGCCATGGGAGCATTGCACAACAAATTAGTATTCTTTTGAACCTCGACTGGGAGGTTACCATTTCTCATGTGTACAGGGAGGCCAATTTTGCTGCCGACCACTTGGCGAGTTTGGGCCATGATCTTAGTTTTGGTACACATAATCTCAATGTAAGGGATAGGGGATTAGTTTATTGGCTTCGACATGATGTAATGGGCATTGCCCATGAACGTTCTATTTCTATGAATTAGACGCCTTATGCGTCGATCTTTCTACCAAAAAAAGAAAGGCAGCCCGGCGGCTCAGATCCACCCGAAACTGCAGCAGGCTCGGCTCGGGTCTATATATACAACAGATCTTCTATGGTCCCATTATTAGGCCCAACCCAAAGACACTTGAAACTTGACCAAACCTCATAATCCAACCGAGGACGAGGAGAGACCCATCAAAAGTGGGCCGAACCAATCAACTACCCGCCGGACCGCCCCCGAAATACTCTCCCGACCCGACCCGGGTCGACTGCCGTTCTCGCGCAAAGCAAAGCCAGGAAACACGGTGGGAGAGCTAGTCGCCATACCCAATCGGAACAAAGACGCAGCTGCCTACACAGACACAGTAGCCCGAGATAACCAATCCAGCCCCACTGTCGCTAGCAATTTCTCCGGCCACCGTTGCCGACGACCTATCCCGCGGAAATCGTCGATCCGGAATTCCACCATTCAGAAAGTAGAGTCACGGCTGGATCACCCTCGTTCTTGTAAGTCTGATAACTCCTCAACCCACGAATCACAATCTCGATCGTCCGTTCCCCAATCGCTGAATTGATATCGTGGTTCGTTGATTGTTGAATCAATGGCAGGAATTTCGTGTAGGATACTAACCTTTCTCGTTTTCCCCTCTCCAATTTCTTGCAGGAAGCAACCGTCCCAAAACGGGTCCAGTTGGAAACTCGTTTCCCCCTCATGTCAGGGCCGAATGAGGACATTACATCTTCTCATACACAGGTATTGCTTTTCTTCCATCCATGGATTGTTTAAAGTCTTCGAATTTCTAACCTAATAAGGTTTAGATAGTGGCCTAGTGTTTGTATGCGTAGCAGTGGTTTCACCCTTTTCGTTTTTGCAACTCCTAACTAGAATAATGTTAAAAAGTTAGAACCTTTTTCCTGGGTTTACACCCGATTTTGAGAATAGATACATTTCAGATGATGGCAAGTTTGTGAAGTTTGTTTCTTTTCTGCTCTTGTGTAAAACAGCTGTCGTCCCAGTTGTTTGGGAACCTACTGGATTCCATGATAGCAGATGTGGCATCTGAGTGTCACAGGATAGCAAAGCTAGGGCTTGACCGCAACTTGGAGGAAGAGGAAGAAGAGCTGAAGTTGTCAGCTGAAGCCCGGGCGAGTGTGGCTGATGCTGCTGCCGAAACGAATGGCAAGTATGTGATGGATATCTTCGGGCAGACGCATCCACCTATTGCCAATGATTTATTCGAGTGCATCAACTGTGGGCGATCTGTTGCTGCCGGAAGGTTTGCTCCTCATTTAGAGAAGTGCATGGGAAAGGTGACTTGTTTTATTAACTCGAAACTCGTACATTTTTGCTTTGTTGCTGGAGCATTACTGCTGTATATACTACCTAATTTTTATTCGATGCCTCTGAAGCTGTTGGTTTGGATTGCTTGCTGATTTCAGATTTTGTGTCTGGTCTGTGTTGTTTGCAGGGTAGGAAGGCGCGCAAGGCAACAAGAAATAGCACAGCAGGACAGAACCGGTATTCACGAGGCAGCCCTGCTTCAACCTATTCTCCTTATTCAAACTCCGCCGCCACCACCGCCACTTCCAACAGGGTACCAAATGGGACGACTGGTGTTGCTGGTGAAGGTTACTCCAATGGTGCATTTGAGGAGAAATGAAGCTATATAATTTGGCCCTGTCAGGGCAACCTTCAGTCACAAGGAACTAACTAACTCAATCAAGTCAGGTGCAACTCTATTTTGTCTTGTATCTTGTTCATGAAACATACGAACGAGGGTAGCTTTATGAACTGATTCAGCATGTTCCAACCCTCATCTATGTTATTCTTAACTCTGATATGATGGAGGAATGGATTTGAAAGAGAACGAAAGTTTATTGTACAGCTGAAATTTGTTTGTGAAGCATGATTTTCCCTCACATTGAATGCTGAAAATTATTTGCTCGGCAAACAAATGAACTCTTCAATGTTTTATTTCTTGACCAAAAGAATATGAACATGAAAGGTAATTTCATGGTATGTCCAGCTAATACACATTGTATATGCTCTTCTTCAATGTCTCTGGTCCTATGCCTAGTTGCAGAGCCCGAATGCACAGAAAGTCTCTTTGCCATTGCTGGCACACCGATATTGTTACAGCCTCCACAATGCAACATGTTGAAAAATGGATTCACACATTTGCCATTACAGCAGGTCTCGTTGTACTTGCACTTCTTCCCACATCTCCTGCAAGTCGAGACGATCTTTCAGAACATCGACGCACTTCTTCTTGCGTCAATGAGGCCCCAGACTTCTCCTGGCAAAACATATCCTAGGAAACTTGTTGCACTTCTAATGCCCAGATGATATCACTGGGCATTAGAAGATCCGGTCAAGATGTTGGCTGCATATTCTTCATCCTCTTGTCGTTCTTCATCATCCTCTTGTTCTGGTAATTCCCCGAAGCTTAGGACTCTGGCCATTGCAGCAGTGAGAAGCAACAAGTAATAACGTTTTAAAGAGCTAAAGTTTGGGTCACAGCTCACAGGTGTAATTTCTAATAATCACAAATAATTGTAGAAAAATAGTTAAGAAATCTGGGCCACCAATAAAGGAAAGGATCAAAATAAAATGGAGGAAGGAGGAATTAGGAAAGCACGGTCTGATGCCTACGTGGGCTCGCAGCTCTCACTTCTCCCGATCCGCCCACAAACCTGCAGCAGGTTGAGAGCGATAATGGCTGCCCCCGCCGTAGAGTCCAGGCCCGTGACGGCGGCCCTCCGATCAGTCCTTCTCCGCGTCCGCCAAGCCGCCGAACGAGCCGGAACCAGCCCCGAACGTGTGCGGGTCGTCGCCGTGTCGAAAACCAAACCCGTTTCCCTTCTCCGAGAGGTCTATGACGCCGGCCATCGCTGTTTTGGGGAGAATTACGTCCAGGAGTTCGTCGACAAAGCTCCCCAGGTTTCCGCTCATCGATTCCTTTCTTCTGACAATGGCTAATTAGTAATTCAATTCGAAATGGAACTGCTTGTGAATGGCGTGCCCTGTCCTTTCGCAGCTGCCGGGCGACATCGAGTGGCACTTCATCGGCCATTTGCAGAGCAACAAAGTGAAGATACTTCTTAGTACGGGTTCCCTCTTTCTTCTTCTTCTTCTTCTTCTTCTTGTATCTCTTCATCTTTTTCCGCGCTTATCCATGGTTGTGTGAGTAGTATTGGCTCCAATTTTTCAAAGGAATGTCGACTTCTGCTCCTGTAAGCTTTCATAATCGGGAGGAATGTTTCGTTTCTTTCTTTGTTTCCTTTCTGTGATGCTGAATATCTGGGTAATTGGGTGCAGATGCAGTACCGAATCTGACTATGGTTGAGGGTGTAGATAATGAGAAGGTGAGAGCTCTTCCCAACATTGATTCGCCTACTGATAACACTGCAAAAGAGCAGATCTTTTTAGAATTGGGTTTGGTTCTAGGTGGAAGTCTGGTGCAAGAAAACTTATGCTTTGTTAGTCTTGAGTCATCCTTGTGCGGGGTAATGTCGAGCTCGAATTCAGCTGTTCCATGTTTCCCATGTGAATGGAGTTATCCAGAATACCATTGTTGGGAAGGCCGTACGTACTTAGGAGACATAGATGTCAAAAGTTTGCATGAGTGCATGGAATGAAAAGCTTTATGTCTATTGTTATCATCTGCTGCCCGTCGGATCTTTCAACTTTTTTGGCTATAGCTAACAGATTCAGTTAAATTATAGTTATGGATAAACTGATATGAGAAGAATAACAAATATTCACTTGAAAGAAGGATTTGTGCTATATTAATTTGTAACAATCTTGTGTTGACAGGTTGCGAACATTCTTGACAAAGTGGTTTCAAGCCTCGGAAGGAACCCTTTGAATGTCATGGTCCAGGTGAATACCAGTGGAGAAGCATGTGGGTGAAACTGAAACCATTCATCTCATCTCTCAGCTAATTTTGTTGCTGAACATTGAAATTTACGACATGATTGCTACCTTTGTTTTCATTCACTTCTTTGACCAACTCTATCAGATGCTAAATCTCCTTTTGCCTAATAAATCGCATGCCAGAACCATTTAACAACCTGGAGTCTGGCCCAGTAGTAAACTTAATGCACGCATTTTGTTTCATATGGCTTATGTCTTCTCTGTAATCATTCTCATGGATTAAATTTAACTGATTTTTGGGGTATCATTGCAGCAAAATCAGGCATTGATCCATCTGGTTGTGTAAAGCTGGCAGAGCATATAAAACTTCATTGTCCAAATCTTGCTCTTTCTGGCTTGATGACGATTGGGATGCCCGACTACACATCAACTCCAGAGAACTTCAGGGTAATTTTCTGCACCTACTTATTTGCGGAAATGGCAATCACATCAAGATTCAATTCATGATCCTCAAGTTCAGCAATATCAAGAAGACACCTATTATGCACAGCTCTTAAAACTGAGGATCACCCGTTGGTCTGAGTTCTAACTTATTTTCCATTTTTGTGCTCAATCAACAGACACTAGTCAACTGTAGATCTCAAGTGTGCAAGGCCCTTGAAATGTCCGAGGACCAGTTTGAGCTATCAATGGGGATGTCTGGTGACTTCGAGCAAGCTGTGAGTCCTCTTCAGTTGAATTGATCTGATTAGACTGTTTACAATTTTCTTTACTGCAGGGTGAGTTAGTGATTGCGCACGTAGATTGAAATAATTCAGAATAGATGCAGGGTTAGTGATTGCACAACTGTTTAAAATCAAACCACGTTACATACACATCAAACTGGCGCGTTGTCTTTGCATAAGTTGCGCATTGTTGGCCTAGATAGTGATTGATCCCTCGATACTGTAATATCATTTTAGAAGAACATCACTGATTGCAAATCCTGTCTTGTGCAGATTGAAGCGGGCAGTACCAACGTTAGAGTGGGATCAACAATATTCGGGCCAAGGGATTATGCAAAGAAGAAGTAAAGTATTTTGAATCACAACATTCAGCCGCTAAGCTTTAATGAGTTAAGTCAGCAATGCTGTACTGTAGCACTTAGAATTCACCATTTTCAGAATCTGTTGCCCTGTTCCATGTAAAGCCTGTAATGTTTATTCTTGGAAAGGTTACCAGAGGTTCTCTGGTTTCCCTCCATTTTGTTTACGTTTTCAGGTATGGTTTATCATCTTTGTCCCTGTGTAATGCCGATTGTACCCTGGTTGGATTATACCACTTGCTAAATCAACCTAATTGTATAAATTAGGTTGATATCTGTCTCGCATTTCTGTCATTGGTTGGTCATCTGCATAGTTAAATAGTTCGTGAAAAAGCTTAGGAAAAAGAATGTTGCAGACTCCAAAGAGAGGGTGAGCGAGGATAAAGAAATTGGACATAATTGTAACCTTTTAAACAAACTTCTCAATTCATGCTCTTAAAGATCGCAACTACGAAAGGGTTTGATCTTACCCGCACCACACGAATTCAATCCGTATGGATCCATCCTAAGCGCAGCATTACTTATCTCACATGTAGTGTAGGCCGTGGACTTGGAGTGAGGTATGAGTCTTACTTCTACTATCCGGCCTTACTCTATTCCATCATGTATTACGTAATTTGAAGTCTACATAAAATAATTTAGCTCCATAGTAAGTGTGTGTTTTTACCTCACGGATAATTTGGATTCGTTCGTCAAGTCATGCTCAATGCTTTGTATGTAGGAAATTTATTTTATACAAAACTATAATTATTACGTATCCTTTCTTCTAATGACATGATTAACATAAAACAAATATGAATATTGAGGTACCCGTCTCGTCCCATTATCATTCCACCTGAAAACACAAATATTTTTAATTCTTAACATACTGCATTTTGACATCAGCTAATTTCACAATTCACGATCCTAACAAATCTTCACATCTCTTCGTTAATAACCTCAAATCCATTTCGAAAAAGTTTTTCAGCCCGAGGTGTTGACATGGTCATCTAAGGGTGATGACTGATGAAAGCAAGCAAGGTAGAAATCGTATTCCTCGTTGTTTACAGAAAAAAAAAAAAAAATTTGACGGAGGTAGAAAGTTTCCGTCTCCCTGTCGAATAAGAAACAAGGAGGAAAAAACTATCCATATTCGATGGTCAATTGTTCATCTCATTCTCATTGGTAGGAGAGACGACGTTATTGCCGTTGGAGCGTCCGTGTCGTCGTCGTGGTTGGGACGACTGTAATCAAGAGAGTGGGTGACACAGAGGTCACCGGAATCGGAATCGGGATTCCCACCGCCGGAGGCCCTTTTTTGCCCAACCCTGATGCGATTCCTCCCTACCAATTAAAACCCTTCTGTTCCCTTGCGCTAAAGTCTTCTCCTTCGCTCCCTCGGCCCCCGATCTCTTCCCTCGTCGTCGCTCTGCAATGAACGAAGTCATCACGGCGGCTGATGCATCGGCCAGGTTCCGATCAGCCACATCGCAGCCCTCCATTATCCCTTTCAACGTTCCTCTCATCTCCGCCTTCCTCGCACTAGCTATCGCCCAGTTTCTCAAGCCCTTCACCGTCTGGTACTACTCCCTGCCATCCTTTCTCTTCTTTTGTTCTGGTTACTATTCGTATTCCATAGGATTTGCCATTCCAATTTGTATATTTCAGCTTCTAAGTGAAATTTGGAAAAGTCCCTTTCTTTTACTTCTTCTTTGTTCATGTACGAAGTTCTGGTTTTGATTAGTCGCGTGAATTGGAATTGGGAGTGTCTAGATGAGAGCAAGAGGTGGATAGTGGACTACAGAATGCTACGAGTTCTTAGAATTGGTCGATGGATTATGGGGCTGGTGGTGGTGGGTTTTAGCTCCTATACATACACATAACGAATGAGAGCGTGGAATCTTTCTTTGCTAGGAGTTAGGGTTGGTGTTTTTAGGAAAAAACAGTTGAAAACTGTTTCACTGCCTTCTGCTTATTGATGATATTGGATGATGCAATGGATTTGAAGAAACCATTTTGTGTATCAAGTCATTGAGATATCTATGGTTATTAGAGATAAACAACTGTTGCATTAGCGTCTAAGCTGTCTACAATCTGAATGTGTGAGATTAATCCTCTTCTGCACCGAAAAATAATGAAGGTTCAAGGAGAGAAGATGGGATTCTAGAAGGATGCTTGGGTCTGGTGGGATGCCCTCCTCACATTCAGCAACGGTGACAGCGCTGGCCGTGGCTATTGCACTGGAGGAAGGAACTGGGGCCCCAACTTTTGCTGTTGCACTGGTTTTGGCTTGTGTTGTATGTACTCATTATCCAGGTTTTCTTCATTCTTCCAAGTTGTAATGGGCGATCACATTGAAGTTGATGACTTTTGTTGTGGGATGAGATTTCGTAGTATAAAATAGGGTGCTTATTATGTTACTGGATGGCATTTTCATCCTTAAGCTAATAGACTACAATGCAGTAGAATGAGATCTCATGATCGACATTGCATTGCAGGCAAAGGTCTCAGTTAGATCATAGTTTCCAGTGTTACTTTTGTTGCCTTGTTTAAATCTTAGATTTTTTCCTCCCTGACTAGTGATTATTTGTAGTTATAGACATTAAGTTGGAATTGTGGTCTTTCAGTGATTGAGGGTTCATGCTTATCCACTTGTTTAGTTGTGTCCAGGATGGTATTTGGGTCCAAGCTTCCTGTACTTATTCTGATAAATGGTTTTGCAGGTTATGTATGATGCCACTGGTGTTAGACTTCATGCTGGTCGTCAGGCTGAGGTGAGATAAATTTCTTGATTTACTGTCGTACAAAAAGTTAGAAGAATATTTTAGTTTTTGTGCTATTGAGCATATTTGGTTGCTGCCTTATAATGATGTTCTGCTTATAGAAATCTGAGTGAACTTATATGAATGACCGTAACTGGTGCTATCCGTCACACAAACTTATCCTCTTATTTTCTTTTTCTTTCCCCCAAAACAAGAACTCTATTCTTGTTCCTTAGAAATACAAGAATCCATATCTTGCACAATGAATTCCTCTGCGCCAAAAAGCATTCTGTGATATCAGGCTCGTTTCTTTAATTATGCTTCATCATCCGAAGGAGTGTAACCTCTAATACCTGTTAAAACATACACTTAACCTAAACATATCTTTTCAAAGTGATCTCCTGGATTCACTCTAATTCGAATGTCCCATACTTTTCCGTTGGCTCACAGCATTCAGGATTAGGCGAAACACTTGTACACCGTCATTAAGTTTAGTTGACAAGTTTTGAGTATGCCGGAGTTTGAGTTTGATGACTACTTTTCTGCTGTTAATTCATCATTTTTTGGCTGTTTTATGCCGTCCCTTTTACTGTTTCTGGATTTTTATTGGGGAGTAAAGAGTAGTGATATTGTTATTTACTTACCAAGCTGCTGTTCTAACTTCCTTTGACCATGCTGGTAAATATATGTTCTTGCAGTTATTAAATCAAATTGTATGTGAGCTACCTCCTGAACATCCCGTCTCCAATTGTAGACCTCTGCGGGATTCACTTGGCCATACTCCCATCCAGGTTTGTTGTTGGCATAGTTCTCGATTAAAATACAAGGGTTAATATTCAGTTCCACTTCAGCAGGGAATTGGTCCATGTTAAATGCTTTTTAAAAGTGTCTCCAAGTTTCATTCCTCGGGCTTCACATCACATCTATGCATCGTTTAAAATGGCTTGAGAATCAACTTAAACTACAAGGTGTTAGGAACTGTTAAACCATGGTGGTTTAAACATAGGCGGCCTTGTTCTCTCATTGTCAATTTCCATGTTTAAACTATGAAGAAAGACCGATTCTAGTTTGTTGTAGAAAATGCAATTCACTCCATGGCTACATCACGTTATGAAATCATGAGCTAAAGAATAGTGTGCATGGGGGTACTGATGCAGGTTCTGGCAGGTTCCGTGCTAGGGTTTGCAGTGGCTGTTCTATTGAGAACATCCAGTTAGCAAAAGATCCCCATGTAAGGTGTTCCTTCAAATGCATTTACAAGCTCCGTAAAAAGCCGCTGTCATCGGGAACAAATTCCATTGGTGCTCTTGGGTTAGGAAGAGGAACTGAAACTCTGAACAGGGCAAGGGAACTGCTCAGGTTAACGTGTTTGGGTTTGAGGTGTTGTTAGTTACCTGAAGTAAGTGTATACACAGCTTGGTTTTTCTGCTTCTGAGTTCTATATTCCTCTTTCCAAGCGAAGAGGGCAACAAGAAAACACAGCAAAAGATTATATTCTTATACTCTGATCTGATGTTCTACTGCGTAGCTGTCGTCTGCTTAGTGTATGAAAAAAAAGTGTAAAATGTAAAGTTAACAACACTTTCATCGACTGTGTAGCTGTAATTTGGTTGCCGTTCTTATCAGTAGCAGTACTTGTTTTGTCTGCCCATCCAATTCCTAGCTTGACGGAGGTTGCAAATTGCAGACCTTGCTGTCGAGGAATTCTTTCTACTGGCTATGGCTCGCACTCATGTAGCATAGCTTATCTCGAGCTTACTTGACCTATCATAACATTACTTGATCATCTGTTGTAATACACAAACACCAGTATCTGGTAACAGAGCGTAAAAGCAATCTTCGTGTCACAGACAAACATGGTGAAAATGGTGGCAGCTACTGCATGCCTTCGACTACAAGCTATCTCTACGAGCTCATCCTTTATCTTCGCCTTTCCGCTTGCAACTTTTGCACCACAACCACGCCATAGAGATTAGCTTCCCACTCCGCCTTGCTTCGCGTCTCAAAAGTTCTTCAGCTAATCTTACTGTGCTGCAAAACGTGCAGCATGAATGTAGCCGCAGAAGTTTCTGCGTCCTTGACTCTACTCTTGGCATCTCCAGGGATGTACAGCATTCCATCCGGAGTCGTAACTTCAACCGCCGAGACATAAATCTTCTCGTGCGGACGACCTTCCTCTATCATAATGCTGCAGTATTTATACAATCAACCAGTTGAAAATCATATGCTTTTCACTACTACACCGAAGTAGAGTCATTGATCATACATAGAATGTCGATCGGTAACCTACCAGTAACACGGTTTCGGCCATTTCTTCTTGATGCACATCTCATTGAGCTTCTGTTTCGGGTCCTGTATCGTAAGCGTCGACCCATCATAGCCACTGCTTCCAGCTGCAAGAGTACTAGAATCAGTACTTGGCAGCTCCGATACCACGATGTCGAAGGCTTTCCTGCAAGCATCAAGCTTGGCAATCTCTTTATAATCCGATGAGTCCGACACGACAAAACTTCCATCGACGAAGATGCTAGCAACGGTCTTCGTCCCACTTCGCCAGTATTTGATGTCGACGTGCTTCCCCTGCTTTTGGCAGAGGTCAAACAGTCTTGTGACCGGTTGTGGCTGGCGCTCCAGATGTTCGAGTGTTACAATGGGTTCCAAAATACCTCTGAATATCTGCTAAACAGGAAACAGCAGTAACCATCATGTTACAGATGGAACTCAGGAAAGCTATAGCCGGTCAAGGAAAGTTTGCGACTGGAATCATGTTAAGAAAAATCCCACCTTCCAGAGCGTTTCGAGATTGAATCCCACGTCGGCATAGACAGCAGCTGCTATGGATTCGACGATGTCTGCAAGAACCTTGGGAGCTTTCATTGAGCCACCGTAAACCAGAGGGTCGGTCTCATCTTCTTGCCTTACTGCATATTCAAACTCCCTCACCTGTAAGGAATTAAAGTTGGAAGGTAAGGAAGTGGTTAACTATGATAGACAACTTGTTCTAACAACTCGATTTATTGAGACAAGTTGATTTATGATAGTCCGAGAGAGAAAAAAAAAAAAGATGTTGGCAACTCGGAATAACGAAATATCCAGAATCGACAGAAAACGATGAATTATCCTGTATTGGAATACCTATTTTGAGTCTAACACCAATGTTTTAGAAACTTCACTTTACTGTCCGATCAGGTCGGAAATAGCGGAAAACGAACGAACTTAAAATGGTAGACAATTTTAGCGTTACGGAAAGAACGAACCACAATTAAACTACAATTTTAAGTATCTATACTTTTTCCAATATAACTTGGAAGAAACAGAGTGTAGAAACAGAGTCCAAAACTTGGGGAGTAAGTTGACGACTCACCCGATCATCCAGAGCGGCAGAGTTCCGCCGGACGAACTTGTAGAACCCACGGCGAACCGCCACGCGGGCAAGCTTCTCGGTGCTGACGTTGGCGGCCCGGAGGAGGGTGAGATTACGCGGATCGAGCGGAGGGCTCTGGAGGAAGAGGTAATTGCTGACGGCTAGCTGAATCACGGCGTCGCCCACGAACTCCAGCCGCTGATAGTTCCTCGGGCTCGGGATCGACGACGAGTGCGTCAGCGCATCCACCAGCAGCTCCTTGTCGTTGAAGACGTAGCCAAGTATCTTCTCCACCTCGGATACCGTGCCGGCGGCGCCGTATTGGTTGAAGAGGATCTGATCCATGGACCAAAAAGGAGTTGCAGAGACACAGGGAGTAATTCGATTGCAGAAATTCAATTGAATAGGTTTCCAGAAGGCAGTGCGATTTCAATCATTTAAGCAGCCTCAGGGAGGGAGACGACTGCTTTTTTTTCGAAGAGGAAAATGGTGTCGGAAAAAGCAGTCGGAAAAAGCAGATCAGACTAAAGAGCACTGAGCAGTGCGATCGTGGGGTCTGATGACAGATATTGCCGCGGTCGGTCATGGGCTATTGGGCCTGCAACAGCCTCTGGCTGCTTTAACTGACCAAAAGCCCATGACCAGCCCGAGCGACTTTGTTCTACGCTGAGGAGTTGCATGTCTTTTGGTGGACTTTCGATTATACAAGGCTACCGAATGAAGAGCAATTCGTCGAAGAAGTTGAGCTTGAGCGACAACATTTTATGCGTCTGGCCGTGGAAGTGGAAGAGAGAGGTCCTGAAGCAGTGACCAGTGAGACAAGCAAGAGATGACCTATTCTACGGACTTCACCCGACAGAGGACAATGTGAAGGAACCACAAGTGAATGAGACGAGCGGGTTGCCTCAAACAATCTCCAGTCCCATTCCTTCGTGGTGTGAGAGATCTACTTGGTTCCATTCGACGACTACGAGTCCTCAGTTCTAATGGCGGTAGGTTTCGTTTAAGTGGAGGTAGGTCCCATACGACGGGCACCCAGACTCAGGCATTAGATGGTGCATCCGACGGACACGATACAGGTGAGTGAAGTTTTAACTCTTGTTTAAATATTCTTTTGTCTGAATATATTATTGACCGTTTTTCTATATGTCAATCCAGTTAAAAACACGATTCTAGCTAGAAGCTGAAAAGGGGGTAAAATTGTAAAGCGTAGAATCGAAGAGTAAAAACGTAAGTTTTTTTTATGCATCCTCTAAAATAGTTAAAATGTGAGTTTATAGATTCCAGATAAGTGAATAAATACTTGCAATTCAATATTTAAAATGAAATTTCTCACACATTCTAACTTGTATAGATTATAAAGTAGAACAAACTCAACAAATATAAATCGTAACTAAAACACGAGTTTAAGAATCCAAATTCTCACAAGTCACAAGCTAGATATTGTATTGCTTGCACTCGACATACTGCATAAAACAAAGATCAAATTATTATTATTATATAAGAACAAATGATCAATGTAATTCTGTAAAGCAACTTTGAGATGAATAAGCGAATAACGATTAACAAAACACAAGAAGACAGCAAGCTAAGAATGCGTAACAAAATCTTAGCTCAGTTCCTTCGGAATAAAGAAGACAACAAGCTAAGAGCTTACTAGTTACTACCCGATGACTCCTGTAATACAAGAAAAGAATGAATCGACCAAATGATTGTCGAGGCTGAGGAAAATATATAGGACCAGAGGAGAACCTTGAGATGGCAAAGAAAACAGAAGGGGAGGCACCGCCGAGCTAACGGCGAACGTTGGTCGGAGCTGGAAGGATGCAGCGGTGGAACGATGGAGGAAGCGCCGAGCTATCAGCGAACGTTGATCGATCGGAGCTGGAAGGATGCGGTGGTGGAGCGATGGAGGCGGCGCGTCAGAGTTGGCAACGCAATGATAGATGCCTCGCGTCGGCCTCGACGGCAATGGCAGAATGGGAAACCACGAGGGAGACATCGATTCGGAGTCTCCTCGAGTGATTATAGGGATTTGGACATGGAGGGGGTCGATTGTGGACTTCCGATGCCCGCCAAATTTTTAAAACCAAAACGGCGTCACTTTAGTCAAATTAGAAATTTTATGGTCATGCACTAGAATCGCACAAAATCGCTTTAAAAACGCGATTTTGTCCGTTTTTGTCGTTTTTACCGATTCTACGAACGATTTTATCGATTTCATGTACTAAACAATTTTAAGTGGAAATTGATTCGTTTTAGTGATCTAAATACGTAAAAACGTACATTTTTACGATTTAAAGCGCGATTTTGACTGCACTGCTATATGTTTGTCAATAGGTCCCCAAAATGCCCCATGCATCAGCATTATCCTCTCATGCATTAGCTTTTTGCACAGTTTGTTCGCGAGTTAGTGGTACACCATTTCAACCCTGCATCAGACGGGCACTGCGGTTTTATGACACTTTCTCATTATCTATAAATGGACTAGATGCACTATTTGGCAGTTAGAGCATAGATAGTAGACTGAAGATGGACTAACGAGTGAATTACGGACAAAACATGAATTTTGTCACTTTCCAAAGTATCAGACACTGAATTTGTGATTTTTCAGTCAACTTGAGATCGTTGATCTTCATATGAAGAATTACAGAGAGGCATAAAAAGCGCAGCCTCAGAAAACTCAGCTCTTCACTCACTCTCCTTTAAAATTCTGTTCTACGAGATGGATCAATATGGAAGACCACCGTGAGGGCCACGACGTTGTTCCATTTTCAAAGTTATGCACCGCACTGATTGTTTTCGGTATTGGTCCAAGTATGGGTCCTGATACCCCATTGGTTCCGCAGCTCGAGTAGTCACAATGTCTTCATCTTGTCTATTGTTCCACCGGTCGATGAAGTCCCTCAACTTGATGAGACGAGTACCTTGTCGACCATCTTTTCCGTGAAAGGACTTATGGCTTTCGAGAGGCTCTAAGGGTAAGCATTGCTCACGACATATTGTCGTAAGCATCGATCTGGCACGTGCCACTACACAATATGAGACTCTCGTGCACCATTGTTGGCGATGCAACGGGAATTGCCTCACGTGCCACCCCACGACGTGGGAAGGGTACGTATCGAATATGAGCTACAAAAGAGAAGACATCAATTAAGTACTATAAATTCTAGACTGCACGTACAAAAAAAAAAACAAAAGAAAAAGATGTATTATGATGGTTGCCTCTGCTTTCCAAAGTCTATCCAACCTCATATGATACTCTGCCAATTTCTGGTCGGACTGATTGTCGCATGTTGTGGCTCCAATCCACCTTATTCATAAGGACAACCATCAAATGGTATTACTAACTAAGTAACTAACTAACTATCAAATCATGTAGTACAAAAATATAAGGCAATTGGTATGTGTGGGATTGAGAAGTTTACCTACAACCATAAGCTTCGTGTCTTAGTGATGTTCGAATCCCCATTTCTTGTCGGGACACTCGTACGGCGACATCCATGGCAGATGCTCCCAAGCCCAAAAATTGAACGATGAACATCGCCACACCAGTATCCTTCTCCACTTTCAGAGTTGTACTACACAAGGAGTTGTAGATATAAGCTAGGAAAGCGGATGCCCTACTCAGGTTCCTCATATCCTCCCAGGGACCAAAGGTGATCTTAAGTCATGCATTGCTAATTAGGTTGTTGGATTTTTTGGGGGAATAACACTCCCCGATCATGTCAACTGCTTGAGTGGATAGTTAGTTACTTAGTTAGTTATAACATTTTATGCTTGTCCTTATGTATAAGGTGGATTGGAGCAACAACATGCGACAACCAGTTCGAGCACAAATTGGCAGAGTATCATAGGAGGCTGGACAAAATTTGGGAAGCAGAGGTAACCATCATAATACATCTTCTTCCTTTATTTTTTTCGACGTGCAGTCTAGAATTTGTAGTACTTAATTAAGGTAATTTATTTTGTAGTTCATATTCGATCCTTACCTTTCCCACGTCATGCAGTGGCACATGAGGCAATTATCGTTGCATCCCTAACAATGATGCATGATAGTCCCACTCATTTGTCACCATATTGTGGAGTGGCACATGCCGGATCGATACTTACGACAATAAGGCCTTCCACGGAAAAAAATGGTCGCCAAGGTTCTCGTGATTGGCCCATCAAGTTGAGTGACTTCACCGAGCGGTGGAACAATAGACAAGATAAATACATTGTGACTCTTCGAGCTGTGAAACCAATGGGGTATCATGACCCATACACAGACCAATACCAAAAACAATCGGTCTGGTACATGACTTCGGAAGGTGCGGCGGATGGTGTATTTGTAAGTTATTTTCCTCATAGTCAATTCAATTCTTCACTTTTATTAACATATTAGTAGTTATGTACCACATTACTTTTAGTTTCCTAACTTGGTTAATTGGTGCGGTTTAGATTGATGGGATCGAATATATTGACACTATATCCCATGGTGGGGAGACTTTGGGAAAGATAAATGTGTCGCTCTTGAGGAGGATACAAACAATCTCTTTGGCTGAGTTAGTGCGGGTAGGCGTGATCATCATAGATACCCGCCAATGCCCGCATCGCCTACACCTCAGGTATCTATTGATGTCCCTAACTCGCTACCGTCATACCAAAGAAAGCCTAACAACAGTGCAAGGGAAAGACCTCATGTGTCCGAGGTCTGACCGATTGAGACGTGGCACGTGCCTCCTTCTTTGGAGGTGCACCACGATCCCTGCCCGAGTACATACCACGACAACACATCATTTGGTACTTGGAACGTCACTTCCTCGAGTGCCCATCAAGACTTGGGTTAATTCCCAAAATATATTTTTTAATATTACCACGAATAGTGGTTTAAAAACTATTGACACAAATATTGTGTTTTGTAGGATAAAAACCGCGAGTCTATGTGTGCAGCGAAAACAACCCCAAAACAAGCGAACACGTGCCAAAATCAGGAGGATCCACTTTTAAAACCTTTTACTTTAGAATGAAAGCAGATCCGCGCTAGTCTCACGCATATTCGTTTATCCTATTTTATTTCGTTTTTGTTTTCACCAACCCCTCGCAGTAGAGACTCAAAACACCTTCTTCTCCCCTTTTAATTAGTTTTTTTTGCAGGGTTATTAAAGCCGAGCCGAGCCGCTCGGCCCGACCGGTAAAACCGCCACCCGATCACAAAACCGACTCGGAACAGTCAAAAAGTCGCTCCGGTTTTATGTAGCGGTTGACGAGCGGCAGAGGCGGTTAACCGCTCGAACCGATCGAGCCGCTCTTTCGGTTTTTGCAATTCAGCCATTAAATTTAATTAAAAAAATTGCAAAAAATTAAAAATTAAAATAAACCAAAAACGTCGGGCTCTCAAACTGAATCCTTATTTCTATTTCACAATTTCAAAGGAAAGAGACAAGCTCTGATTAAGAAATGTCCACTATTTATATTGATAACGTTTATTAGGTACCGGTTCTCTAACGGTTTTTAAACGGTCTAATGTCGGTTGGACCACTAAAGTGCGAGTCGTTCGCATAACCGGGTCATGCTCCGGTTCGATTCTGACAACATTGTTTTTTTTGTATTGTTTGTTGTTTTTCACTTACTAGGATTATGGACACTTATCCAATGAGGCGACCACATACAACAATTGATCCAGCTCCGCCGATTCGTTATTTCTTTAGGCACATGGTCAAATATCGTGCCGACTCAGTTTGGCAAAATGAGGTAAGTCTTTCGTAAAAAAATGTAGGGTAATGTCTATTTTTATCCAAACTTTTTTTCAGATTCTTTTATATTATCCAAACCTATTAAAATTCTATTAATTATCCAAATATTTCGTAATGTATCAAAATATTAGTCATTTTTACGTTATCGTTAATAATTTTGTAACTCTTTTCTTAGTTAAAATAATAAAGTTTTAGAATGTTGACCTTCATGAGTCTCTTCCAAGTCAATATTACTAACAAAATTGCTAACTAGGAGTTAACATTTGCCTAATTTTTAGTAATTCGATAGTTTTGGATAATATAAAAGAATCAGGAAAAATATTTGGATAAAAATAGACATTACCCGTATTTAAAGTTCATTAGCTAGTTTCTCAATGGGGGCAAGGGAATGGATATAACTCAGCAGTAGAGTGTCACCTTGACGTGGTGAAATTCATCAGTTCGAGCCTGATTATCCCTAAACTCAAAGTGAGTTTTTCTAGTTTGGGATTAGATGTTTAAATTTTTACTAGGTGAACTGAAATTAGAATTACGTATAATTTTTTTTAAATTAGTACAAGTTTAGACTAAATAGATGTTTAGATTATATAGATTTTACTAGCTGAACTGAAATTAGAATTACGCATCATCAGATAGATTTAAGTTAATCCATCCACCAAGGTCACCTCCTAGGGAAGATGACTGCGTCATGTTTAAAACCGACCTACCCATCTCACCGTACAAGTAGG